TATTAAATAGTGATCACACCGGTAAAACATCATATTCATTACACAATTAGTAATTTTCTTTGTACTTTTGTGATAGCCTATTCAAACAAGAAACTGACTCCACACAGCACCAATGAATAAAAGTACACCAAGCGTCAACAGGTTTACTGATTATAAACCAATTTAATAACCATAGGGCTTTAGCTTCAAAAAACTGGGGTAAAGTTAAACTTGTTTGGGCAAAATGTTCCTTCGAGCTGTACACTGTGATGAAAAGGTGATTGATTGATGATAACAAGTGAGTGATAACTGTCCACGCAGCATCACTCAGCCTGCAAATATGATTGGGTCAACAGGCAAACCGATTCTCAGCAGAAAAACTGTTAATCATTGAAAGAGCCTTATCAGAAAATGTGATTGATTTACAAAGAGCATTGCTCTACATGTTTATAGATGCAATAGTTTACTTGCGTGATGTGCACAGAGCTGCTTTTGTAATGTAATGAAAGTAACAAAAGCAGCTTGATCATTTCAGTAGCATACGTTCTCAAATAGCATTTAATCCCATAAAACTGATCACTTGATATTGATAGTAGGACAAAATCCTATCAGTGGCCTTATCGTGTTTCTGATGAAAAGCATGACATAGACGGAGATAAGCGGAAAGTAACAGCAAAGGTTGGCCAAATGTAACCCCTTTTTTTGCCAAACATATTATTACCCAATGATTTTAAGTTTTAAACTTGAATACTTTATGGAGGCTGTGCAATATTAGGCCCTAGGGGTTTATGATTACCTAGACTACAAATACCCTGATGGGTGAGGACTATGGGAACTTCATAGATAACTGTCTCTGTTAATCGTTACGGAAGATGATGGTTCTGTCTCAGGTGCCTCTTAAGAAAATGGCTTTCCTTTGAGTTACATAGTATCTATTTTAAAATGAAAAGACTGACTTTAGAGTATCATGTATTTGTTTAAATGCATTGGAACTAAAATCAGAAATTGTGGGGAAGGAACAAAGTTGTCACAAGAATGAAAGCGAATTCTTTCTTTTAGAAAGTGTTGTTTATAATTAAATTATATGTCCTTTGCTTGTGCGGTTTTTGGGTTAAAACCCAGGGAAACATTTAACTGGCCATCATAAAGTTTCTAACAACATTGTGAATTACTACTTGGCAGGAATTACAGATTTTGCTTGTAAATCCTCTTCATTTGCACCTGGTTATGTATTAAAAACTTAACTCCTTGAACTTACTCTTTGTCAGACCAAGAGGTCGCATGACACGTTTCTCCATTTCTTGATGCTGACAACAGTTTGATTAGCAAATACTTTGAATTCTTACTTCTGTTCATGATTTATTCTCAAAATTATTTTTTTTTTTATAATCTGCTGAATGAAAAATAAAATTAAAGGCGAATATGAACCATCAAAGAAAAAAACAGAATTAATGAAAATGCTTTGGCATATGATCATTGTTTTACATTTTGACAGGCCTTTAAAAAGCACAACAGCCTGGTGAAACTAAAAAAAAAAAAAGGTTTAGACCGAGGGGAGGGGCATTATCCACGCTTATCGAATCGGCCCCTTCATGCTCAGGACAGAGAGATACATTTCAGAAGTCTTACATTTGTTGATATTAACACTGCAGCATTAAATGCCATGTTTCAGACAGCATTAGTATTCATTAAAAGCTTTGTGGTTCGCAGGTAACATTTGACAATCTGCTATGTGTTCACTGTCACATACTCACATATCTGTGCCACATATCAATCCACAGAGGCTTTTCTACTGGCCTCAATTGCGCTTTAGAAAGCATATTGCTGCCGTCTTCTCCCATTCTTATAAATGGCACAAAGCCTCAAATGTTCAAAATCAAAAGAAAGTAATTCATATTCCCATGTAAAACATGTTCGCGAGTACTCCAAGAGGATGTTATTCCATCTAGGCCACCAGTTCCCACAAGATGTGAATTGCATATCCACCTTTGTAGTTGCTACTTGTTATTCCCATTTGGTCAGACAAGTGAAATGAAAAAGAGTCATTGGAGAGAAAGTACAAATAGGCAGTGGTTGCAAATGGAGTTTGGTCAGTGGTCGGAGATCCTTATTGTGGAGATAGACAGGACTTTGTTCACAAACTGGAGTTTGAAGTTTCAAAGGGGAAAATAGGCAGAGGAGTTACATCAACCCTCTGACTTTTAGCCCCAGGCAGGCGGTATGGGTGACTGATTATTGGACATGACATTGCTGCCTCATATCGCACCGAGGAGACGATCAGGGCAGGACATGTGCTATGTCATATTGTCTTCTTATGATGAGACTCAAAGTACAATTGCACCACGCTGCAGTGTGCATGTAAACGTCTACCTCCCAACATTGATCAGATAATGGAGGAAAAGTCTGACCGTTTGATGAGGGATGTTTTCGGTTTGAGGGAGTTTCTTTGAATTTGTGCTAGTTCGGTCTGAGGGTTCGGTTTCTGTGTCATCACTGATACAGGAACAGACACTTAAAGGGATGGTACACCCAAAAATGAAAATTCTGTCTGAATTTACTCAAAAGTTCAGAAGTTGTTCCAAACCTGTAAGAATTTCTTTCTTCTGCTGAACACAAAAAAGATATTTTGAAGAATTTCGGTAACCAAACAGTTGATGGGCCTTTTTTTTTTACCTATACTCAATGGTGTCCATCAACTGTTTGGTTACTGACATTCTTCAAAATATCTTCTCTTGTGTTCACCTTTTTTCAAATGAAATACGTAATTTACACCTGTGGCCTGCCACGTTAACACAAGTCTGAGTGACACAGATGACAGTTAATGAATACATAAACCAACCTTAATCCACATCAGCACATTCTGCAGATGTAAATCTGTTAAATAGGTTTGTTCACCAAGAGGCTTTTGCCCATGTGAGGTAATGATCTAATGTAGTTATCTACACCTTCCTGCTCTGATCATTGAGGTGCATGTGAGAAAGGGCCATAACTTCACAGATTATTCTTTATTGAGGCCATGCCTTGGTTAACAGAAACACAGAGATGTACGCTGCGATAAGAAATTTAATGGTGACTCAGATAAGATTTGTTCATTGTGAGTCATTCCTGTACACTGATTGTCATTACTCAGGTTAATCACTGGAGAAGTGAAGACATCTTGCTTGCAGAAATAAGGAAGACTAGCCTAATTAGTATTTCTGATCCATATCGGCTAAAAACATGCAGTTCTTGTTCAAATTTGTTACATTTATTTTGAGATGTAAGCTTTTGCTTTCAGAGCTTTAGGTAAAGCATCAAAGCAAGCAACTACTGCACAATCTTGTATTCTTAAGAATATATATGTATATATTTTATATTCTTTAATATCTCTATGAATATCTAATGTCCCTGAAATATATTCAAACCAGCTATCTTGTAAGTTTAGGTGTTTTCCAGCCTAAAACCAGCTCAGCGTATTTAGTGGGTCAGGTGGGATTTGCTATTTTCTGGTAATAAACAATGTCAGGGGTGTTTTAGCAAGCTCAACATAAAACACAGAACCCCACATTCTCATTAAATTTCATGCAGTGGAGTAATTTAATTTCATTATTAAAAACATGAAACGCTACTGTGCCACACTAATTAGAGTAATGATGGATCTAAAACAAACTTGCATTAATTTACATTAAAAATGTATATAGAATTATTAATTTTTTACCTCATTGCCATTTTTTTGTTTTAAGAATAAACCTTTTTAATAAATTTTAATCAATTCTTAAAAACAGAACTCCAGTTTTCCAATAAAGAAAAAAAAAAGGTTTTAGAGGTTCTATGGAAGGTTTGAACTGAAGAACGATGACCCATGGCTTGTCATGTTGCTTGCTCTAGATTTGCCTCTGTTTGCATTGGCCCTGATACTTATGTACTTGAAGTTGGTATTTGCGTAACTGTAACATCAAACTTTCCTGTTTGAGTAACAAATAGTTTTATCCTCTCTAAGAATGGTTAGGACAACATAGACTGCAACATATTATGATCACCTCAGATTTAACCTTAACTCACGGTGATTTGACCTAGTTTCTATCTAGAACACCAATATCTTGTGTAAAGAAGTTTTGAAATTTGAATGGGAAAATAATATGTAATGTTAAATGGTACAATAAAAACCTAATTGGTTTACTGTGAGTTACCTTCTACAATTATTTGACATTAAATTGGACAATATGCAATTATACTGTAAAATATTACCCAAAAGTCTTGAAGGCATATCATTTACAGTCTAAATAAAAATGTATGTATTATATCTAACTATTAACAATATATTAGGTGGATATATGAACATTCAGTATGTATATAAAATACAATTAAAAGTGATAATACAATTATTGTGGATGTGTTTATTTATGTGTGAACTGTACAATAAACAGCCACCAAAAATGCATTAAACATTATTGTCACCACATTTTTTAAAACCAAATTTACCAAGTTAGTTTTCGCAGGACCAAATGCTAGTTTGCATAGTTTGATGCAACTGGAAGTGAGTTGCATGCATCACGTGCACATTTAGAATGTTCAACAGAACAATGAGCTCTTTTACATAAAGGCCACAATTTTACTTGGTGCGAGTAATAGCTGTTGTTTATTGTGCTAGAATTAACAGAGATTTAGCAAACACGTAATTTGCTCGTTGAAATGTGGACCATTAATCTCAATCTTATACATTCGAGTTGAATGTGAGTGATCTTTCCGTACTGTCTAAAACGTGTCAAGGACTAAAGAAAGTAAAGTGCTGAGACCGGCTATAATGAATTTGATGCAATGAGACAAAAAAATAAGACAGTAAAAACCCCTGGTTGTCTCCGTCTCTGACACACACACAAAAAACAACAACTCTGATTTAGCACTTCAATCATTAACACAAGGGCCATCCCACTACAGAGCGGGGCCGTGCCCTGGGAGGAGGCCCGGGCTGTCAATCACAGCAAGCCTCATCTTTGCCCTTGAGGACATGGCCCCTGTCACTCAGAGGTGTCTACCCCTCCAAGAGGAGAGGAGGGGCTTGGCCTATGAGGGGGTGTCCAAATGCTGTAGAGAGGACAAGTCTTTCCCCCAGCATCAGGTAGTTGAGAATGCGTTTGTCCAAACCACTAGTAGACATGGAGATGGCAGACTATAGCGAGGCCTTGGACCCAGCCTACACCACCCTGGAGTTTGAGAACATGCAAGTGCTTGCGATGAGCACAGGTGAGTCATCTGCTCAGACCCTGCAGTGAACTTTGAGACCTTTAGTGACTTGGACTACTTGATAGTATATGGTCAAGCGTGGGAGGCAGATGTTTAACAGGGTTGATAGGGTTATAGTTAAGTGCCAATCGGCAAGTTTGTAACCTCTTGCACAGAACACCCAATACTGATTGTAAAAGCCCATTCGAAATGCATTTTGCAGGAGAAGATAAGAAGCAGAACGTGCTCTGTCCTGCAGACATGGTACTCTATAAGGAGAAGAGGTTCATTCATCTCCTCTTGCTCGTTCTCATACAGTTGGCTTGGGATAAAATGACTTGTTTGGATAGTATTTCAAGAAAAAGTTTGACACCAGGATGAATGATTACTGAGCAAAGGGGGTGTCATGTAAATGTTTTGCAGCGAAGTCTCCCATGTCTAGGTTTTGTGCAACAAATTGATATTCAACTACTGTCATCATGATGTGACAAAGTAATCTAATATCTATGGTAAAGACAAGTTTTATCTAAAGTTTTAAGAGTCTAATTTATAAAATGTTTATATGAAGAGTATGTATATATACTCAAATATATATATGTTTACATCTTTTTTTTTTTTTACTGTTACATTGCCATTTATTGTTGAGGTTATTTATTCAATATGGTATACAATATATAATTTTTTAAAATAATGAAATATAGCAAATTTTTAATCATTTAACATTATACTTTTTTAATTGTAACATTTTTAATCACATTTATTTTCAAGCAGTTCACAAATTGTTTTCCATTTAGATAATCATGACATAATCACTGATGAGTCATTTAACCACCTTTGATCACTGTTGGGGTTTTAATGTAATTATCTCTGATTACCTATAACCTAAAAACGAACACTTAACGACTCACACATCTTTCCTTTGAAATCATGAATGTTTCAATTATTTCTCTCTCAGAATTTCTGTTCAGTTGTTCAATTTCTGTTGAATTTGTTTAGTAGGTCCTCATGAACACTAATTAGAGTTTATATAATATAACATGATCTTGTTGTAGCTTTTGTACAGGTTTAGTCCTAATCACTTCTGGATTACTTAGCAAACGGTCCTCTCCAGCACATGTTCTTGATGATGATTCACTGCCAATTGATTTAGCTGTAAAAATGTTCACCCTATGACCTTTTCCCTATTTACTTTAACTCTGATTGGTCTGGAATCAGGAGTCTGACTGGTTCAGTCTGTAACCCAGATATTTAAGCCTCATTCAGAAAAAGATATATTTCATAGCCTCACATATGATATATTTTATTTATTTTTAGTCTTGCGTTTTAAGCTCCGCTTTCTCACACTTGTGACACTAAATTCAAGATCCCCCATGATTTCAGACTCCTCACCAGCTGAGAGTGCCAGCATGAACGCTGCCAACCACTTAGGGGTGGGCACCCTATGTGCCATCTGTGGGGACCGGGCCACAGGAAAGCACTATGGAGCCTCCAGCTGTGATGGATGCAAGGGGTTCTTCAGACGCAGTGTACGCAAAAACCACATGTACTCCTGCAGGTTAGATGGCTAAATTTTGCATATATAATTAGCAGAATTCTGCAAGTTTCCATCCAATGTGTCAAATTATTTTTTACGCTTCTGTACAGGTTCAACAGACAGTGCATAGTGGACAAAGACAAGAGAAATCAGTGCCGGTACTGCAGACTAAAAAAATGTTTTCGAGCTGGGATGAAGAAGGAAGGTACTTGCTCATGCTGTGAGATTACATTCACACAATGCTACCAAAGAAATAAAAAAATAAAAAAACAGAGATTAAACGCTCCTGGCCTGTTTGGAAGGTTTGGGGATGAGGTGGAGCAAATGGGAGATGTTGCAACAGCAGGGAGAGACATTTTGTTAATGTTCACTCAAAAATGCACTGAGGTCTATGTCTGGTTTATGCTGAACAAACAGTTTAGAGCCATCATAACTGCACACTGATAAAAAAAGCACAACCTTGAGGACTCCCCCCTCACACAAAGTCAGCTAATATCCCTCATCTCTGCTATCTCGATTGGTTGTCGGAACTGGGTGGCATTCACTGCTACTGATAACCAAAGAGTATGTTTCAGAGGTTTACCAAGAGCTGTTTTTGAATGTACAACATCCATATTGGTAAAATAAACCTTCTCTGTGTTTTTTTTTTTGATGAATGCAACTTTAATTTGCTGATTGAAAGTGTTCCTTTCAGCTGTGCAGAATGAAAGAGACAGGATTAGCACCAGAAGATCCAGCTATGAAGACAGCAGCTTACCCTCCATAAACGCACTCATTCAAGCCGATGTACTTTCTAGACAGGTACGTAGTGTAATTCAAATCGAAATACTCTATTAGCAAATGTTGAAAAATATTAAAGGTTAATTGTGTAAAATGTGTTCTCTTAACCCAGAGACTAGGAATGAGACATCTGCAGGTTGATTCTTCTGAAAAGTGTAGATCAGCCTAATTGCTATTCTATCCCCCCCTGGTAAAATTTGAGAACCTGCAGACTAGCAGTAACAGTGCAAAAGTGGCCCAATTTTGCATTTGGCAACACTCACTGTGGAGCACAACATTGCTCTGTTTGATTGAGCATCCCAATCAGAATCTGACCAATAGTAGACCAGGGGATTGTTTAGGAAACCTCAACATTTCTGCAGTTCAACTGGGTGTTGCTATTATATATTTTGTATTTATAATGGGATTTATATTTATAACATCATTATGCATATACATGATTACTATATGTAGTATTGTATTATATAAATAATATTTAATAATGATTAATAAATAATAATGTTATAAATTAATAATCAAAAACTATTATGTAGATCTCATCACCAGGTCCTACCATGAACGGTGACATCAGAACGAAGAAGGTCGCCACTATAACGGATGTGTGCGAGTCTATGAAACAGCAGCTGCTGGTGCTGGTGGAATGGGCCAAATACATCCCTGCATTCTGTGACCTCCCCCTGGATGATCAGGTAGGATAGACACCTCTTATTTAGCTAAAAATATGCTCCCACGATATATATTTCATAGATAATGGTCTGAATTGATTACATTTTTTGTAGTTGGAAATAAAGTTCAGAGATCTTTAGTGTTGGTGGTTAATGTATTCAGATGGCTCAGGTTAGAATATGATGAGCTGGTTTGAAAGTTACATCTCTTCTTGAGACATTTCGAATCATTAACATGTTGAGCACTGAGGCATGGTAAATGATCTGTGTTTTAGCTGTGAGTGAGACCGTCTCAAACTGCATCTTCTCACACAAACATGCACGTGAAAACACACATGCGTATATGGTCACGAAGACCTTATTTTGCCCCCAGATGCGTTAAATCTGAAGTGAAAATAATGTTATGGTCATACAAATGACTCTAACATGTTCATTTGTCTCAGGTGGCTTTACTGAGAGCTCACGCTGGTGAGCATCTCTTACTAGGAGCTGCCAAACGCTCCATGCTGTATAAGGATATTTTACTATTAGGTAAGTAAAAAGGCAAAAAACATCAGTAGTGTGGATATGACAGTCTTCTGGAGAGCAGAATTTAACCTCACAATTTTCCGTGTTTCACCCAGGTAATGATTATATAGTTCCTCGAAACTGCCCTGAATTGGAGGTGAGCCGTGTGGCTATAAGGATCCTTGATGAATTAGTCCTTCCCTTCCAAGATCTCCAGATCGATGACAATGAATATGCCTGCTTGAAAGCCATTGTATTTTTTGATCCAGGTATACAAATAGTCCTAAAAAGAGACAAAGCACAACAAAGTGTCAAGTGAGTTTTCAAACACATCTAATATGATGGTCTTTCTCTAATCATGTAGATGCCAAAGGTTTAAGCGACCCAAGCAAGATCAAACGCATGCGATATCAAGTTCAAGTTAGTTTGGAGGACTACATCAATGATCGTCAGTATGACTCACGGGGACGGTTCGGCGAGCTGCTTCTCCTGTTGCCGACGCTACAGAGTATCACCTGGCAAATGATCGAGCAAATCCAGTTTGTTAAATTGTTTGGGATGGCGAAGATAGACAACCTGCTACAAGAGATGCTTCTAGGAGGTAACTGATTTCTTTTTGAAAAGAAAGAAGAAGTGAAAATCCATGGTTATCAGACAACTGTGGCACTGCATGTTTGTTCTGTAAATGACCTTTAAATTTGAATAGCTTTCAAAACCTGTAATATCTGGGATGCATCATGAAACATCTGGGCAAAAGGCAGGATAAAAAATGCAGTCTATTCATACTGGACTCTTAACATCTAGATCCTATTGCCTGAAAAAAACAAGTTCTTTTATTCACACTTGAAAATTATCTTCCCAATCTGAGATTTAATTACCCTCTTTTCCTGTCAGGTTCAGCTAATGAAGCTCCTCATTCCCATCACTCTTTACACCCACATCTGGTTCAGGAGCACCTCAGTAGCAATGTCATAGTCACCACCAACATGGCCACTTCGATTCACAATGGCCAGATGTGTAAGTAACTGTATCTTCTTGAAGTGAATTAATGAACATTTGTAATATAGAATACAGGTCCTTAAAATGTGAGAATCAGGTATGGACAAACAGGCTTGTTGGAGTAATCCCAGCCAGAATCGTAGAAACTAATCAGGCTTATTTTGTCAAAGAAGGCTACTGTAATTCTTTCCTACCCTAATGCCTTCAGAAATTTCATAAGCATGCTTATTTTGTGTCAACCAGTGGTTTCTTTTTTTCACATGTTATCATAGTGTGCAAATTATGTCTATTTAAGGTTCCATAATACCCCCATGCGGACCCCTGAGCTAATGCATCCTCTTGCTCTTTTTCCAAACAGCCACTCCGGAAACTCCAATCCCATCTCCCCCCACAGCCTCAGGTTCTGATCTCTACAAAATGGCACCTGGGGTTATAGCCACAGTTCCCAAGCAGCCAAGCTCTATCCCTCAATCTACCATCACTAAACAAGAGGCCATCTGAGTGCTTTAGAGAAACAAAGCTTAAAAAAAAAAAAAACCGTTAAACTGGGTACCTTTAATAGGCTGTGCTAAGCGTGACAATTCATTCTCATAAACATTTTGGACACAGTAAAACTAATTTATATTCACAAGCTGTTCAATTTAAGGTTTTTAGTCAAGACCCTGAAATGTTTCAGATTTTCCCATTTTCAGAACTTTAAACCAAAATAATTGAGTTTGACGGTGTGCAACAATCCCATCTCATCTGTTTGCTGTATGTATGTTTAAAACAAACTGGTGGTGCATATTTATACAACCTAAGGGGTCACAACAGCATTCAAAAAGTTATAATACAAAGGCTATGCAAGTTTTCTTCTCTTTTCAATGAGTTTGAGTTCCATAAATGTTACAGCAGGCCTAAATGTGATCAGAGTTTGTTTTATTGTACAGTATTTTAACACCTTGCTACAAATGACTGGCTCTTATAGTACTTTTACAGTAGCCTGATAGAATACATAACATTTTGTGCCTTGGAAATATTGTTATTTACCAAAATGCTGGTAATTATTTTATGTATGCTAAGAGTATGTGCATTTCATATTTTTCTGTTTGTGCCATACTTAAATTGTAAATATTTCGATTTCCTTTTTTCATTAATGGATTTAGTCTATTGTAAGTCATGATTTTAGGATTTAAAAAAACATTTTGTCTCCTGAACAACCCCTTAACTGTGACTAGTTAGTGATGTCTATGTACTGTATACATACAGTACATTTCAGGAGAACATGTCACACTCATTTGTTGTTTTAAAAATTGGTCATTTACTACCAATTTACGATTACTGCCTTCAGTGAGAAGGGTAATTACAAACTTAATGTGAACAGATAATAAATGTCAAGGCTATATTTTTACATACAAGTGTGCTGCTGTTTATTTTTGCTCCTATCTCTTTTTGAATCTTATCTTTAGGACACAGAAGCTGCTGTGTACATGCATAAACAGCATACTATAATTTCAGTGGGTGGTCTGAGCAAACATTTCAATAAGTTTTATGTTTTATTTTCGATACATATTTTTATATAGTCTTCTGGGAAAACCAACTTAAACCATTCTAGTTTAAGTGTACTTACAGTTTAGTACCCAGAAAGTACTGGATAATAAGCACATGGGTTAGGGGTAGGTTCAGGGTTAGTACTTAGTTATTAACCAGTAAAAGGTTGCGTTACCGATTTTGTTTCAGCAGGCAGTTGAATTGTGATCATGAATCTCTTTCCAAATGACAAACACTATTTAATAGCATAAGTTTTCCAGAGGAACTTTTAAGGCTCACAATCATCTCCAGCTGTAAAATCTGCTTCAAAACAAGATGATAAAAGTGAGTATACGTGGCAGAGCATGGTCAAGGATTTTTAGTGCTGGGGGTGTGTGCTGCTCAACACTGATAAAAGACAATAAACCAATTCATAAAGCAGACGCCTTTACTGATAATTTCTCTTAAGAAATCTGTCATGGAAACTTTTTTATTACCAGATTTGCCAATTACTGAATGAACCACGTTAATCACATCTATAATTCAATAAACCTGGTGTCAAGTAGCGTTTAAGATATAATTCAACATTTTTTGTAACTGTAACACCTAGGCTAAGATGTGACAAAATTTTAACAAAATGCACTGCATATTAAAAGATAAAACTAAAAGTAGATTTTTATAACAAAGAGCAAGTCAATGAATGTTGCAATTATACCACCTAACTAGAAAAGTGTGAATTGTTGTCATTTTAGATTTTTGCAAACGGGCCCAAATCCATAACCCGAAAAGCTCGTTCTGTCTGCTGTCATTGGCCAAAAAAATCCATAGTCCCGCCCCCAAACTCACGCCATTGGTTGAGCCGGTGTAGTGATGTCTGGATCCTCAAACAAGAACAAACCGAGAAATGCTTTGATCCTATGGCTTTGATAGCGATGGAATCACATTGTTTACATGTTAGGTTGCCTCAGACTGCTGATTACTTACCTATAATCTGCATATTAAGCTGAGATATCTACATTTTTTAACATGATATAAAAAACACACTTCAGCTTTAATAGGGAAAGGGCGTCATGCATCACATGATAGAACGTGACCAATGGTAGAACGGCTTCTTCCTCTACACGGAACTGATTGCGGATTTATTTGGCAGGTTGGTAATGTTCACTGTTTTGATTTCTGTTCTGTTTATGTGAAGAGCATCACCATTTCAACGCTTAAAAAGCTGAAGCTATCACGTCAAATTCCCCCATTCAGAATGTTAAAGTATTATTCCTGACTAATTGCAGTGCTTCATGAGCGTTAGAAAGAATCTCATTGTGTTTAGCTAGTAGTATGGATCTGACATCAGTTATTAAAAAAATATTTTTGTTTTTCTTGACTTGTGCATATGACAGTAACGTTACAGTTATTGTTTAAGAATATAAATCCAACTATAGCTGTTTCTCATAAAGGGACTTGCTATGTACATAGACAGTAAAGGCTATCTATAGGAAATAAAACCTTGATTACTTTTTTTAATGGTCATCCAAAAAAGAAAGATTGATCTTTACACTAGATCTATTATATTGAAATATAATAGGGAATAGAAAATAGTTCTTAAATAGCATTATATCTAATGCAGGTTCCAAAACTATTGTACATTTTCTATTGTTTGGTATTGTCAAATTTTGCAACATTGTTTAAATTTTCCTAAAATTATGAAAATGCATAAAAAAATATTCCAGTGTACCCACAGTAAACTTATAAGTTTCAAATATAATGCAATACAAATATAGAATAAATTTGGTGAAGGATAAGATAAATGTAAGCCTCATACAAACCTGAATTTGCACTACTTCTAAAGAATGACCCATATAATAGTGCTTGATTGTATTTTCTAAATGAAAACATACCAATAAACTGCTCTATGTCTGTCATTTACATGTGTCCATATTTAATAGTCCATGGCAGACCAAAATGGTCACATTGATCTTGGCCCTCCAAGGGAAACGGTGGCAGGTGTAGGCTTCCCGGCTCCTCCTCCACCCATCTACGCCTGCACCCTTACTACTGAGCTGGTGGCCAAGGCTCGGGAAGAGCTCCAGGAGAAGCCTGAATGGAGGCTCCGGGATGTCCAGGCATTGCGAGATATGATACTAAAAGACCACCCTAATCTGAGGACACGGTTAGACGATGCATTTCTGCTGCGCTTCCTCAGGGCCAGAAAGTTTGATTATGACCGGGCCCTTCAGCTTCTCCTGAATTATCATGCCAACCGGAAAGCCTGGCCTGAGGTGTTTCAGGACCTGAAGCCCTCTACAGTCAAGCACGTCCTAGATCTGGGTTTTCTCACTGTCCTTCCCAGACCAGACCCCCATGGACGCTACATACTGTGTTTACGGCCAGGTAATAATTGAACTGATGAAGGCTTCTGCTTATACAGCCATGGCCAAAAGTATTATGTGAACAAAGTTTGTGTTTTGCTAAGTTTGCTGCTTCAGTATTTGTTGATTTTTTTTTTTTCACATGTATCATACTGGAAAACAATTAAGTTTTTCCTAAGTTTTAAATACTTTTATTGGCAAAAACATTCAATATGCAAAGAGTCAATATTTACAGTGTTGAAATATTTCTCCTTCATAATCTGGATATCAGCTTCTGGTCCAAATCATAACTGATGGCGATCCATTCTTGCCTTATTAGTGCTCGGAGTTGATTTGCTTGTCCACTTACCTTTTGAGGATTGACCACAGGTTCTCTATTGGATTAAGATCCAAGGAGTTGCCTGGCCACGGATCCAAAATTTCAATGCATTGATCTCTAAGAAACTTACTCTTGCCTCAGGACATGGTGCTCCATTATGCTGGAAAATGCACAGATCATTCCCAATTTGCTCCTGGATCGTTAAGAAAAGTTGATGACTCAGTGGTTCATGTAGGTTGTCTACAAACTGGAAGGTTGGTGGTTCAATCCCTGATTCCATCTGACCAATTGTCGAGGTGTCCATGAGCAAGTCACCTAACCCCAGCGGCTCCCGAAGAGGCTGGATGGCTGACACCGTCGTCGGTGTATGAATGAGTGAATGTGAGGCAATATGTAAAGCACTTTGGTGGCCATTGGCTCTGTGAAAGCGCAATATAGATTCAGTCCATTTACCATTTACAATCGATTTTCCAGATGTCCAAAATAAGGGCTTCATGAGAGAGGATAACTTTGTACCAGTCTTCTTCTGTCCAATCCTTATACTTCCTGCAGAATTTCAGCCTGTCCTTGATCTTTTTCACAGAGAGAAGTGGCTTCTTTGCTGCCAATTCTTGACACCAGGCTGTTATCCAAAAGTCTTCGCCTCACTGTGTTTGCAGATGCACTCACACCACCTGCTGCCAATATTGAGCAGCTCAATACTAATGGTAACATGATTCCGTAGCTGATTTCCTCACTAGGAGACAGTCCTGGCGCTTATTGGGACACTATGACGTCCTGAAGCCACCTTCAGTGGAGTTGAACCTCTCTCCTTGAAGTTCTTGATGATCTGGTAAATAGTTCTTTCAGGTGCAATAGCGATGATGGCTGCGCATCAGTCTGCTCTTAAATCCAATCAGAATGATACTGACTTGTACTCATTCACACTTTCCCATGTGCTGATGATATGATTAGTGAAATAATGTTAGCTGGTCATTTTGTGCCAGGACCAAAAAAAAAATGCAGTGAAATTTGGGTTTCTTTTTGGCCAATTAAGCTCTTTCCAATTATTTAAAACGCATCTGATCTGCACAATAATCTAGAAACAATGTGAAAAATCAATACTTTTGGCCATGGCTGTAGTTTTAACAATATTGACAATAAATAAGACAATTAATATTATTATAGAATATTGCAATGTTTATTATACTTTATATCTTGACTACATAAGTTGCGTGGCTGATACAAAATTCTCAATGTGTTTTAAAATATTTTCTCATTTTCCAATATAGTTTAAATGGATATTAAGCTTTAATTTTGTGCACACCTAGTATTAATACTGTAACTGGTATTTTTTATTTTAAATGTTAAGGGATGTTTAATTTTTGTCTTTTCTCTCATCTCTCTCTCTCTCTCTCACTGGTGGATTTGTGCACCAGTGCTAGATCACAACAATCCATTGATCCAATCAGAACAATATCAAGTCCTGCCCTACTTTTTTTGCTTGTTCGAGAAGCCGTTTCTCTAAGATATTTGTTACAATAGAGAAGAAAAGACTACTACCTGTACAATTTTCCTTTAATGCTGACTTTGTTGCTGTTAGCAACAAAATAAAGCATTTTTTGTCTTTCACTTTCCTAGGTAAATGGAAGCCTAATGATTACCCATTTGTGGACAACATTCGAGCTATTTACTTGACATTAGAGAAGCTGATTCAGCCTGAGGAAACCCAAGTGAATGGAATTGTTATCCTGGTGGATTATGGGGGAGTTGGCCTCTCTCAAGCCTCTAATCCAGGTCCACTTTTGGCAAAGAAAGTTGTTGGTATCCTTCAAGTAAGACATTGCAAAAGTGATTAATTACGATGAAGTCATTGATTTTGGCATGAGCACTGATCGGCTGCTTTTGTGTTTCAGGATGGCTTCCCAATCAGAATAAAGGCTGTAAACATTATAAATGAGCCACGTATCTTCAAGGGTATTTTTGCGATAATTAAGCCATTTCTGAAAGAGAAAATGGCAGAGAGGGTAAGTAACTAGCTAATTAGGCTATCCCAGTATTTACACACAGACATGTCTAGTATAATAATATTAGAAACAAGGGCCTCTCTTTCTCCAACAGTATGTCCTGCATGGCTCAGACTTGGCCTCTCTCCATCGAGTCATTCCTCAATCTGTGCTGCCTCAAGAATATGGAGGAGTGGCTGGAAGACTTGACATGTCTGCCTGGTCCAGAATGCTGCTGGAGGCTGAGGAAGAGTTTGTGGTGGAGTTCTGTCAGCCGGATCCTCTGGAGGGAGTCATTCTGCCAGACTCCATGCTGTTTGAGGGAGAGCAAGCTGGGGCACATGGAGAGGACACTTTTAGACATCTGCGTTCCCAGCTTTATTACTGTTACTGACCTCCTGGCAACGTGCAACTGGTTCTTTTGAAACATTTGTTTAGCTATGACCAACTATTTATTCGCAGTGTGATGAGGTCACCGGATCAGTCTGACCGTTTAAATGATCTGGTACAGACAGCCACTTAGATGCTGGATATACACCCTTTGCTTTGGCTTAACCTGTTAACCCTGCATTTTAAAAACTTGTTTCAAACATCCAAACAATATCCTTTTGAGAAGAAGCCCTAGGTTTTAATATATAATCAGTCTCTATGTTTTCAGTTACAGTAACCATTGAAATGTCTAAAATAGTTGTTTTCAGCACTATATCATTTTATGTTACATCTCACATTTTATATTACTCTCAAATAATGCTTGCCTTAATTTATGGTGAAGGGAATATTATTTATATTTATTTAGATGATTTAGTACATTAGAGATAAACACCCATGTCAATTAAATACAATGCATTAACAATGTGCAATTTTAAATTAAAAACCTCTGTTGTAGAATTATTTTATCCTAATTGGTAACCATGTTCATCTTTTTGATTTGTGGATTGAACAGCTCTAAATTAGCTTCTTTTACTTTTTTGCAAGTGTGCTTCACTGAATTGACTTTCTGTACACAATACCTTTGTCCATATAATGATACGCTTAAGAATATGTCCATTTCATGATAAGCTTTAGAATTAGTAAGACATCAGATAGTTGTTTGTTTATAATATATTAAGCTGATGTGTGGTTGCTCAATACTTTACATCCTGACTACATAACATTTTTAAAGTTGAGTGGCCAAAAAAAAAATGGTTTTATATTTTCATTTGCCAAAAATGGTTTAAATGGACATTAATCTTTAATGTTGTGTACCTATGTAAAATATGTATGGATAATTTAATAGAACATGTAATTCATTTTTTGGTCTTACTGAGCACATTTATGCTTAAATTTCAAGCCTTATGTTTGATGCCAGTATTGTAGCCATATCTTATTATCTAAACACTTTATTATGTATGTTTGTGGAAACAGCCAATAAACATTATAATTTTCGGTGTTAAGACTGCTTATTTCGGAGATAGAGATTATTAAAGTGCTGTGCAGCATGAAGTTTGACAGAAGATGGAGCCATACACCATTTGACAGAAACTTTTTCCACTGGCACACCTCCCCTTTCCCCCTGGCGAATAGAATACATTTGTCTTCAGATATCTTGTAGTAATACTATTAAAAAAACATTTATGGAGTTATAACGGTAAAAACACCATAAGATAACATCTTCTTAATAATATAGCTTTCAGAAGACATATCCTAATTTGTTTATTTTGCTGACAGTGGTGCCTACAATCATTGTAGTAGGCTATGGTATTTTGGCGGAAACTGTGGTTACCATGGTCATTTTGTAAGGGAATTCAACAATCGTAGCCACCTGCTCCAAGCTTGGAAACTTGCTCCTCTTCATAAATCATAAACACTTTCAAAATACACATTTTTCAAAGTCACTGTTCAGCACACAATTTGACCGTATACAAGCAACTCCGCGTGAAGTCGTGAAGAGAACAGAAGTGCTGTTATTGGTAAGAGAGCAGACGGAGTGTGATTGGCTGTGGGATCCACTCCATTTTGGAAACAGCTGTTTCAAGCTCTATCCCTCTTGCTCCTCATTGTGTTCGAGAGACTGTCAGAGGAGGAGCGTTGGATTTGACTTGGAATCTCGGAATAAATCAATAGAAATCCATTGAATCTGTGTGGAATGAGGGAAGAGCGTTTGGAAATGAAGGGGAATCCCGACAAAGAGTGAATGTCGTGGTAACAAGTGGAAGAAAGTGAAGCGGATTAAGGTTAGTGATTGTTACAGTAATGATGGGTGATTGCAGTCGACATAGTTTCGGTAGTGAAACAACAGGCGTTGCACATGTAACATTCATTAGTCGACAATATTTACAAGAAATTGAAAAGCTCCTCCGTCCAAATGTATTGTTGATATTGTTTGTTTTTTTTATAAAATGGCCTGGGTTCTTTTTTTCTTTACTTGGACATTGTTTACCAGTAGCGTTTCTCAAGTGAGTGTTCTTGCTTTTATTGTCAAAAAACAACATTTGTCAATATATTCAGTGACCTCAAAAGGACAGTTAACCCTAAAATAAAAAAATGTACCATCATATTGTTCCAACTTTATAAGACTTTCGTGTGTGCAACGAAAGGAGATATTTGTCAGTTTTTAAAGGATATTGACAACCTCACTCATCCAGTGACTTTTCCACATAATGAAAGTCTGCCTGACAACAGGAAGATAAGTGTAAGCTCTCTCTTTATACAAAACCAGTTGAATTTTTTTAAGCAAAAACCTTTATATAGTATCATACTTGCAAGAAGAGGAAGTGTTATCATGACTCATAGGAGAAACTTGTCAGAGACTGCTCGCTTTCACATATTAAAGGTTAGTTCAGGGGTGTCCAATCCTGCTCCTGGAGGCCACCACTGTCATGCAAAGTTTAGCCAGACTAGAAACTTCCAGCCAGGTGTGTTGAGGCAAGTTGGATCTAAACTCTGCAGGAGTTGTTCAACTCTTAGTTTGTCAACTCAATAAGACTTTTATCTTCGAAACACTAATGAAACTATTTTTATTAATTTCTCATTATTTTATCTGTACATTGAAAGTCCAACCAACAAAAAATTTCATGTGCATCAAGCGTGTTTGAGCCTCCTTTTACCATATTTGATGTATATGTATGTGCATTGATCATTGTTTACATGAGGATACTAGCCTTTATATAAAGTATTCAAGATTAAACCTTGATTCATATGGATTTCTTTTACAGTGTCAATACAAATCATGCTTGTGAGCAAAGGAATGGGGAATTGTTTTGAAGATGAATAAAAGTCTTATGAATGGTTTGAAAATCAAAATGCAAATTTTTGGGTGAGCTAACCCTTTAAGAGCACTTTGCATGAGTTCAGCAGGAATGTAGTAACAACAAAGAGATCAGCCATGCCATTTCAGTTCAATCATATATGGACTTTTTTATTATGATGGAGTGCTCTGGCAGCACACTCGTGAAGATGAGCCAAAGACATTATACAAATCAAATGTGTTCTCTTTTAGTGTATGTGTGTGGATGCGGATGACCTGTTTACTTTGATCTGTGTATTTATTAGGTAAGATGGTCAGTTTTTATCTTTTTCACTTGTGAGGAATCAGTTGTTTTGGTCATTACATTCATGAGATCCCTTCTTGAATTCAAAGACATCATGGACTTGATTCACTGAGGCATTTTTGATGAGTCGCACTCGCACATCAACAATGAATGAACAATCTGAAGTGGAACAATCAGTTCATTGTCATCAGCCTTTTAATTTTTCATAGTCATGTGAGCTGTGTAAATGTATCCGGACTATTCGTCGGAAACTGATTCTGTAGTGTGAATGTTAATATTTAATGGTGCAATGGACTTTATGCTGTATTGAACAGATTGATTGGTTCTATAATGAACTTTATGAAATGTAACTTCAACTGTCAGTTTGTACTATACAACCAAGAAATTGTTTGTGTCTTTTGCTCTCATGAGCTTGGTTGTCCTACTTTCTATCTATGGCCCAACAACTTCACTATAGCAACTGCTTTTTTGGACCTCTGAGTCAAAAGATGTTATTCGAGCAAGTCATCATCCACTTGGCTTCTTCAGCTAGAGTAGGCTGATGAAATGGGAGGTAGTGGTACTCAAAGATGTGTTGTGAATATTATCATTTATCATTGTGATGTAGCAGAAGCATAATGCATTATCCTCTGCTGGCAGCACTCTGTCTGGTAAGTGCTCTCTGGCTCTTTGCTTTGAGTGAAAAGTTCATTTGCATGACACGTCCAGGTCAGGCTATGGCAAGAGTTTCGCATCAGTACTTCAGCCATTATCATGCCACGGTATCCGTTGATGGGGTTTGTGGTTGTTTTTGTTTCAATTTGTTTTCCTCTATTTTTATAAATTGTTTTTCTTGTTGGCCTAGTGAATAACCTACCTAACTGTCTCGCATTTTGTTGATTCATGAATTTAAATATATAAACTACTCCGCTCAAAGCAGAGGCTATTTGAGGGGTCTCCCAACTGAGTTGCTTTGAATTGAAACCGATGTAAATTTTTACTTTTAAGCTTGACCTATTTGTTACCCTGAAATAATTTGGTGTGCAGACTGTGCACAAGTGCTTTGATTGAGTTGTAGGACTGCGATGTCTTGAGGGCCTCATCAACAAGGCTGTCGATTATTATAACATTATTGCTGGGAAGCAATTCTCCACTCAATTATAGCCTGCTGGGAGAGCTGTTGAGATTATTATTTTTGTTGCACATGAAACTTATAGAATCATCAATGAATTTATACAACTTAATGTATGTATTTCAGGAATTGACACAGCTGTCGCTGAATGAATCAGGGTTGACACTTTCTCATTTTAAACTTTCTTTTTTCATTCCATCCACAGTTTTCATGATACATTTTCCACATTCAATAATTTCAGACCATATATTAGTGTTATTGGAGTATTTGTATATTATATTATTATAATATATTATATTATATATTAGCCAGTTAATAAATAAATATAAAACACCAGAAATGGCGTATTTATTCCAAATATATTAATCCATTATTAGACAATTTTATACGGCTGCATGATATATTTAAACCATTTAAAAATAATGATAACATAATGCTATTGTGAGATCACAAAGTCTGCAATTCCATGGTAAATTCCAAGTAAAATTCCAAGTAAATACACTGGTGTTTCAGTGTGAATGCTTTATTTACATGCGTAAATAATATTATTTACTTCCAGTGTTCACAGTAAATGGTGCTCCAAACAAACCTGCCGCAACGTGCACTATTTCACCAGATTTGTTATGTAAAATACATCAATATGTTTCTAAATATGCGAATTGTTGTTCATTGCGAACAACATTCATTCATCTAGCATTTTTATCGTAAAAAAGTGGCCAAATATTAAAGATTAAGTGGACCTAAGTGGAAAATGTTGTTTGACCAATGACCACACTATTAAACAAGGATTTGATCTGCTACAACAGATCAGTGTAACAACAACAATCACCAGCCTTTGGTACCCTCTGCAGGCATTTGCTAAAAGGGCAATTTACATAAGTTTATTCACTTATTTTTATTTAAAAAAAATCAGATTGCCTGATTAATCGTCAAAATAATCCACCACTTACTTGATTACCAGAATAATCATTAGTTACAGACCTCATTTGTACAATGATTATTTTTTTTAAATATTACTAAATAGGTTTCATTTATTTGATTTCAGTTTGAGTTGATTTATTTACCATCATTTTAATGCTATAGTTTTTTGTTATTTGCTGAAGTAAAACATCTTTTTATAATCTTTTAGCTTTACTGTTTTTAATAGATTTAGTTTTAGATAACAATAATAACCATGGTCTATATTCTAGGTAATTTTTTATCATGTAAAAAAAACAAAACAGTTTGTCACAGATCCCTGCAGCCATTCCCTGAATACATGTAATCAGCATAATCTGAATAAATTAAATTGCATGTGTATTCTTTTCTCATTGTTTTAATGCTGCTTGCTCTGGCCTTTTACTGTGCAGATTAGTACAAATAAATTGAAAGAATTTAAATCAATTCTTGTCCTTGACAGCAGTACACAAGAGCACATTGAATTGCAAAATGTAGGTCAAAAGACCCTTATAAAGCTATTGTCCATCTGTTTATTAATACAAAAATATGTACATATTAATGTTTGTATAAAATGTCTCCTCAAATATCTTTTTCTGTGTTTTTTTTATTTTTTTTATTACAATCATGCTTTTATTTGGACAAGCACAGCCTGTAAATGATTATGATTAATAATATGCACCTAATAATAATTAGATTTGTCGGTAAATATCGGTACTTTCGCTACTTAAAAAAATAAAAATTTCACTGCGAGCTGCATTCTTGCGAATCCTAAACCAAAAAAGTGTGCTTTAAAAATTAAAGCCTTACTAATCTTAAAGGGAGGCTCTTGCTTTCAGTTTATTACCCATTCACAATCTGATTACAAGTTTAGTTTTTCATGCTTCTACTTACTCTGCAAAGTTTTTGGATCAACAACTGTATTTGAATGCATGATTGAAGCAGAAACTGTGATTATTGTCAATGAAAACCAATGGATGACAAAAAAAAACTAATTCAACAGTTTTTGCTCTGCTGCTGAGAACCGTAGAATTTTAATAGTAATTTTATTGGTAGTGACTACTAAAACTTTGGTACCGTTACACTGATAATAATATTTCTGATAAAAATATATCACTGATGAAAATTCTGATTGGAATATCGACTTGATCAGGTTAAAATGTTAGCACGCTAACATCTTTGAAATATGATCAAATTAGGATATGAATCTGAATTTTCATGTGCATGTAAACATGGTCAGTGTGACTTTAATGCACTTATGTGGGCTATAGCCAAAGCCATTGGTCAGATTCATTCAAGCTGTCATTCAACATTTGAAAGCATCTCTCAGGATATGTTTTGCTTGTCTTCCTCTCTTCACAACTCAGAGCAAATCAAATCACTTTACGCCCACATCCTCCCTGATCTGTGGGAGAGAGGCGTGCTGCAGCTGTGTGGGATCCGTTCGCTGCAGAGAGAGAGAGAGACGGGAAGGAGAAGGACAGAAAGAGAGAGAATGAGAGGAGGCTCCCTCATAAACCCTAGGATCAGAGGACACCGCTTTCTGTTTCTCGTGTGGACTAAAATAAAACTGCCTTTATTCAGGTCCTCGGAGAGCTTTGTAGCACCATGTCATTAGCGTTCAGAGTGCATTCGGTAAGTAATTGAAGCTGTGTGCTGTGACTGAGTTTGGATAATGGTTGTTAGCTTGAAGTATTGGTAATTGGAAGTGAGAAGGGGTTAAAGACAGGCCAGCAAAAAGAGGAAACGTACAGTGACAGGTGGTCTTTAAGACTAACAGCTGTTCAGCTTCGTTTGCTTGTCCAGGACATTTCTTTTTAATTGTTTTTTGGGTTTGTATAGGCTGTGAGCACTGGCTGGAAGATCTCTCTTACTACATGTCATAAAAGTACCATAGAATAATATGCATTTCTGCTTTGTTTTACAAAAGGATGTTCAGTATTTCTTGTGGATACTTGTTTAAGTTTATCTGCTGCTATTTTAGGTGCCTAGTTTAAAGGGTGTTTTCTTGGTCCATTCATGTTGTTCAGGCTGCCAATGAGGACAACTCATTCAGTGAACACCTCTGTCTGTGTCATTCAAGAACTGTTCAGATATGAGTTCTCATTCAATAATTGTGCAGAGTAGTTCTATAGACGGATATTAAAGGAAAAGTTCAGCCAAAAATGAAAATTCTGTTATGATTTACTTCTCATGTTGTTCCAAAAAGAAGCATTTTTGTCCATACTATTAAAGTCAATTGGGTCCAGAACAGAATTTTCATTTTTGGATCAACCTTCCCATTAAGCTTAATAAATATGTGTGTATTCTGTTCTTGTCTGTCTGCACACCAGATGCTCAGTGTTTCTGGTTCTGTCTATCCTCCACACTCTCTCTCTCTCTCGCGCGGTAAGACCTCGGGTGCAGGAGAAGGACATAAACGACAAGGACAGACGTCCCACCTGCTTCCTGTAAGGCCATGTGTTGTTTAATGCAAGTGCAGAGCTGGATGTGTGTACAGAGGTCCTGTCAAAGAGACAATATCCTGCCCTTTAGAGGGAAATTTCAGCCAAAAATGTCATTATTTATTTGCCCTCATGTCATTCCACTACAGAGTGTGTTTTTCCTGATTTTATATATTATATGTGTTGTAGAATATTTTCTCATGGATGTTTTCACTACAATAAATGTTCACACTGATAATCTTAAGAACCACTTCTGCAACTTTCAAATTAAAGGAGAACTCTGGCTCAAAATGAACCTTTGGTCTAATAAAACATTGGTACCTAGTCAACCGTTCTCTGAGATATTGTCTTCATGATAATCGAATGTAAAGAGTTTTATCTCTAAAAACTGTTTAATTATAACGCTACTATATGGGGCATAGAATAAGTAAAAAGAAATCGCTAGTTTATATCACTAACAAGGCTCAAAATAGTCACAGTAACATAATGAGGGTCCATACATGCAAAACGAAGCATTGAGAACTTTGTAAGTGTGCAGACCGTTTAATAAGAAGATACTTTTTGAGACGGTTCACTTCGTGTATACAGACAGGAGCCATCTTGGAAAACAGTCACGACAAGTTCAACCACGAATGACGTGCTAAGTGATCTGAACTCTATGAAGTTCAGCGAACTTCTGAACTGTATGAATGGCGTTGGGGGATCGACTTATCGAGACTATTTTTTGCATGTTTGGACCCTCATTATGTTACTGTGTTAGTGTGGGGCTGTTTTGACCCTTCTTAGTGGTATTAACTAGCGATTTATTTTTACTTATTCTATGCCCCATATACTAGCGTTATACGCTAAACAGTTTTTAGAGATAAAACTCTTTACATTTGATTATCATAAAAACAAATCTCAGAGAATGATTGACTACCAATGTTTTTTTTTTAGACCAAAGGTTCATTTTGCGCCGGAGTTCTCCTTTAAATGTGACGTCAAACTCGCGGCATGACTTCAAACTATTTATTTTATTTCAGAGCTACAGTGGAAGGGAAGATTTTCAGTGACTGTTTTTCAGACTGTTCCTCAAACTAGTCTTCCATTTGGCTTCAGAAGACTTTTTATGGTGCTTTTATAGGTTTTTGTTGATTTTGAGCTTGACCAGCCCCTGGTCAGTAAATGTACGGAGCCCCCCCTAGTCCCACTTTGGAAAAAAAAAAATTAATAATAACTATCTTGTGGCCTCAAGATAGTAACTCGTGGCCTCAAGATAGTAACTCGTGGCTTCAAGATAGTAACTCGTGGCCTCAAGATCGTATAAATGGAATGTAAAATGTGAAATTTTCATAATTTTGTCTTAATTATTTTGAGAATTTTATTGTAATATGGTTTTGAAACGACTCTTTGTGTGAACTCTTCCTGATTTATGTTCACACAACTTTGTTATTGATAAATATGATGATTTGTTGTTTTCTTTACATTTCGTCCTTATGCTGCTCTTTGTAATAGCAGGGTGCAGATGGTGGTGAGCATATTTCAGTGTGTGGCATTTGGTTTGGATAGGTACTATAATTTGTGTTCAAACCGTTCATTTTCAAAGCAGCGGGACCGGGACTATTTTCAGAAGGCGCATGACCTTTTGACTGTTCGTAGGGAAAGAGGTTTCATGCGCATGTTGTAAACTCCGTTGTAACACTCACCGTTAGTTCAAAAAAGTAAAGTTCTCATCATTTGTGTTCCATGGAAGAGAAAGATTGAATTGTCATGAACATGAGTAAATACTGAAATAATTCTTGGGAGAATTTTAAGATTTTAATCCTTCTCCACCATTTCCAGCCAAATAAACTCCCAGTGTTTTTATCTGAACTGCACCACCTGTTTATGACTCTGCAAAGATTCCTCCCTTCAGTCACTGTTGTCATAGTCTGAAGTGTGATTCATGGGGAAATCCTAAACCCTGTTAGCACACTCACTCCCTCTCTCTCTCCTGCTCCACACTGTGAATTTAATTGGGGAAAGCGCCGCATAAAAACAATAAGTTTTAATTATGCCTCCAAACAAACAGTGGACTGATTCAGACATCTGATACTGTTAGGCTCTGGTGGTGTTTTGAGCTTTCTTTCTTAACAAGCCATTTTCACACTGCTCATTTTCTGGCTGGGCGATTGACTGATGGCTGGCCGCAAACTGCATCATGTGCGTGTGCATATCATCATAACTGTGGAAAACATATGCCATCTTTCACTGACACATGAGATTTACTTCCTTTAAAGTGGTCTAAAAGGAAACCCTTTACCAGACAGGAAAATCATTGCTTAATTGAGACCTTTTCCTTTCTGCCCTAAGAACTTAAGTAACTCTCCTTCTGTGCTTTCATTATGGAAATTAACTATTGACTTTTTAACCTGCATTGTCAGATGAGTTTGAGTTACTTTTTTATTCATGCTTGTTATAGACATTCATGCTTGTTATTCATGCTTGTCATTGATTTTCAAGTAGGTAGAAAGACAAACACCACAATCTTTTTAATCCTTTATCTTCACGAAGCCTGCGTCAGCTGCCGTGGTTGGTGTGTTTCTTTCAAATTTTGAGGCAAATTCATCGGCGTCCACCTGTGCTAGGCAAATGATGTCGTGACTGTGTTGGATGTGAGTGCTGTGGAATTATTAAAGAAGGATTTGTGTCTTTGTGTGTCGGCTCTAAAGTTCAGCTGTCTGAAACTGCTGTAACATTTGACTCGGCCTCCCTGCAGTATCCTCATTATGATTTAATATTTGCTCTAATATCAAAAGGGCTGATAGGCCACACTGGGAAATGAAGCCCATCAACTCCTGCATTAGTAAAGAGGCGGTGGTTTGCTGGTTTCACACCTTCATCTCCCCGAGCCTTTTTAAATGCTAACACTTTGTTTCATGAAATAACACCAAATACGTGCTCTGTTAAAAGGGCTCTGTGAGCTAAAAGCCTCCCGACTTCAGTGCGAGGAAAATGGCTTTAATCTCGATACGGCTATCACTTCCAAATCTTCAGTTAATTGCTTCTTAGTGGCTTTGAAAATCTCTCGCTTGTAAAGTAGCAGCCCTTCGCTCTGCACCCCGGGAGCTGAAAAGGTCTCGATGACATGAGGAAAAACTTCCTGACGGCAAACTTTCTGCATTTGCTTTGCAATTCTTGTCTTGATCCTCTATGAAATCCTTATGGTTGGAGTGGCGGCGGTCCTGAGGCATCAGAGGAAGACGAATGAGAGTGAGTCAAGTGTGGGTGACACCACTGTCTCATCCGTATGAGTGCAGGCCTGGCAGCCTCTCTTCTTTCTCTCCACAGTATTCATGCCACCTCCATGGCCAATATGCCCATTACACATTTAAGAGCCTTTTTGTTTTACATGCAATCTGTCAGTGTTTGCATTAAATAGGCACTTCAGAATTTAGACATCTGATGTATGCAAACAGAATTTAAAGAAGATCCATATATCTCTTATATTTACGAGAACAGCGTGAGATTGGTGGCGTGATTACCAATGAGCGACAGCTGTGAGACGCACCGGTCTCGTATCTCTCGCAGAGGAGCGGGAATTTTCTTAGCAACGTTAAAACGCACCTCAAGCGATCACTTGTTTAGCGTTCATGTAAACACGACATTCAGATGAGTCAAAATAACGTGTCCTGTGGTGTAACATGCTAAACCAAAGAATTTATATTTCTTTAAATTGACTGTGCGCTCGTATTAATAATGGGGAAAAAGTGCAATGCGCAATATGGCGAAATAAGTTCCACCTTCTAAAGAAAAAAGCCAATCGCGATTGGTAAAGTCGTCGTGTCACTGCAGCTGCTGTTAGAAGCTCCTGTTTGTATAGAAACACTCAGTGTTCTGAGACACATTAGCTTGGTACAGCTTGAAAAATAAGCATTATTTTGCTTTAGAGTTGTTTGCCCATTTTAATGTAATGAACTTTTTTTGTAAAATGTGATCAAAGATCCCTCACATTTTAGGTGCAGTGAGAATGTGTAATGCACCAGCAAAGTTCCATTGCGTTGTTCTCATAACCTTTTCCTGGAGATGCTGAACATGTGCCGGGAAATGTTATAGTATGCTGATAAGAGGCTGTGAAAGTGCAGCTGAAGTGCTTGGGGACCGTAAAGTTGGCATTTAAAAAGTCATGATAGCACAAAATGCTTGGTCGGTGGAAGAAGCTTGGTTCCTGGT